TTTGCTGGGAGTAAGGGCGCCCTCCGTTTGCGAGGTGCGCCTGCTGCTTGCGGCACAGGGAGGAGAGGGCGGGGCTGTGGGGGATTCTCTGGCTGGCTGGAGCAGCATCTAATAACCAACACGCAAAATAAAACAAAAATAATAACAAAACAAACACGAAAACACCAAAAGTTGTGATACAGACTTATAATTTGCACCGATGTTCTTTTTTCCCGAAATTCTATATACGAAAAGTGAGCGCGAGAGCCCTTGGTGCGCCTGCTTGCTGCTGATGTCAAAGTAAACTTTATTGTCATCTCCGCTACATACAGTCCAGTATATAGAGACACGAGACGACGAGGCTCCAGTTACAGCAGTGCAAGTAAACTGTATTGCTCTTATTTAAACTGCTATGACTTGTTGGGCTATAACATGTGAAACATATGTCAAATGCATCCCTCATTGATGAAATAAAGTCATCTGGAGCCACAAACAACATTCGTGTAACGAGGTTGAAGCCGCAATCAGTTTTGGCAGTGCCTTCTATATAACCTTTATTTATGCAGTTAAAAAAAATTCTCATTAACATTAAAATGTCTTTTGTAAGAGTAAGTTGGCCAAGGGACAGCAGAAATGGCAGCAAAACAATAGTTCTGTAAAAATATTTTAAGTGGGGATAAAGGACCGGATTGGTTATAATGTAAGTACAATAACACAGAGTTGTAAAGATACTTGAAAAACAGATCATTTTTTAATTCTACATATAACGCCTTTGTAAATGCTGTTCACCAAAGTCTATTTACCAAGATATTACACATAAAAAATACATTGTAAATCAGTTTTTGGCACAACACCGGCTGCTTCCAAATAGAGCACATTTCATTCATAATGATATAAATCCAAGCCTGTTATGTATTCATGATTTGAATCCTGGGTTGTGCAAAATCCCAGAAAAAAAAATCTAGACAAAGTGAATCTGTGAACTAAGGTGTATGTTGTGGTGATCCTTGGGTTGGGGGATGGGTGTTCATACTGGAGTGCAAAATTAAAATCAATGGAAGATGGACAAGAAAAGGTCAAAGTCATCAGGTCCTCAGTTTAGTTTGAGGTTAAACAGGTCTGAACATTTCATGCCAGCTGTTCACACCTTCCATCATGTTGGTATGATTTGGATTTTGATGATTGCTTTTTTCTGTAGATATTTACAGTAACAAAAACCATAACACCAAGAAAAAGTCCGCATGAAAGAATTAACACAATAGCATAAAAACATGCATCCTTGTGTCCTTTTTCTTTCGAGTCTCCTTCTGTGAAACCTGCAGAGCAAAAAACAAAACAAAATACAAGTTTGAAGACTCAGCTACCAGGTAGGCTGTAAATAGTTCTTGTTTTACAATTTGAAATATCTGTAACAGTTGGTAGAGGTGATTTCAAAGCTGCTGGCAGTGAGCTGGATGTCAGAAAAGTAAGTGATGAAAGTGTCCGTTTAGTTAATAACTGCAGGGTAGCATCTCTGTGCTGATGTTTCATACCACTTTTATCAGTTAACAGAAGCAGAAAAAAATTGTTAGAGTGAATTGTTAAATGTTTGTCATTTTTCTGTTTACCATTTGTACATTGTTTTAACTCTGTGAAAGGAATTCTTTCTGTCCTCCACTCCCCAGATTCTCGAGGTTCTGAGTGGGGGGGGCAGTAGTGTTTTTATCACAGGCACATCCTTGTGAAGGTCTGTTTGATGTTGGTAAACTTCCTCCCCTTTGTATGGCTTCACTGTGTTATCTAGGGTGAACCATAAATTGGGTGTGGGGGAGACTACCCTCTTTATGACCAAGGATGTTCCTCCTGCTTTTATGTTATATGACCCTTTGTCAGCAGGAGGTCTGACACACACACGCACACACATTCTTACTTAGATACAGAAGTTCACACATATACATACAATGCCTCGTATTAGAACCAAGGGGGCGTGGCTTTGTTCTGACGTGTTTTGTGTGAACTGTCTCTCAATAAAAAGGCAGCAAGGGAGGTCGTCGTCGGGGCCATTTTCGTGGTGGACACAGACGAGGCCTCCCTTGCGCAAGTGATTGATCGATCGACTGTCTTGTTTTCTTCATGATGAATACGTCTCTAGAATTAGCGGGGCTTGTGGAAACACAGACCCAACAAAGATCATTCAGCAGTGTGTCACTTTTGTTTTCTTTTTCAAACTGTTGCATGTCTATCATGTGCAGAACCTTTCAAAATAAATGCATAAAACATACAGAAGTATGTGTAAGTATCCACCCACCACAACAGGAAGCTTCTCATTGGATAAAACTATTTCTACATCACATACTTACAAGCAGAAGGAAAGTTAGCCAACTGTTAGAGCCTCCTGTGAGGATTTCATGAGGTACTTTACCCAGACAGAGAACCACTCTGAGCATGGAAAAAGCCAACATCATACCTCTGAGGTGTGAAGCATACCCTTAAAAACAGCTGTTCTGTTAAAGCAGTAAGCTCAACCTCTACAAACTCACCTGTGTCTATGACTGTGAGGTTGATGGAGTGCTTGAACTCGCTGATGACTCTCTGGCCACTGCTTGTCTTGCTTGTTGTAATCTCACACTTGTATATACCCGTATCGCTCACACTGACGTTCCTCATAGTCACAGAAGCGTCTCCATCCATCATGGATGAGTCTCTCAGCTGCACTCGGCCTTTAAAGGACTCGTGCTGGTAGTTCTCGTACGAGCGCTGGTCTTGGAAGAAGAACACATAACCCTGTGAGATGAGCTCCGGCCTGCTCCACTCCAGCAGGGTGATGTGTGCATCTCTGGGACCCCAACACTGAAGAGTGGCAGCTTGTCCAGGCCCCACTCTGAGCTCTGTGTCCAGAAAAAAGAAAGAGGAGAAAAAACAAAACATTAATAGCGTGTTATACTGCACGTCATGGACATGCATTATGCAGAAGAACACGTTGGACTCCATTTCTACCACCTATACTTCAGCAGACAGTCACAACCTGAGACCTCTGACAGCAGCACTATGGATCACGGCAAGTACTGAACTCTGAATTGTTGTTGTAACAAGTAGAAGGTCAGAGTTTACAGTGTCACAATAATGGCTCTCAGCTTGTTAGATCACCATGGTAACTTATGCATAACCTTCCCTGTTTTCTAAAGACCTTTGGTTTAAAACCAGCTGCAAACATCACATTTACAAGGCAGAAGAGGCCACAGGACATCAGAATATCTGACCATACATAAATGCAGCTTGATTCTCAGGCTCATCTCTGGCTCTGTGCTTTCAAACAGATGTATTACATGTAATTTGTAAAAAAAAAAAAAAAAAAAAACTGTTAAGAAACTGCAAAAACTAATACTTTTTAGTGACAGTTGAATCCAACTTCAAGAACAAAACGTTGAGCTTTGTTGCCTAAAGTAATAAAAGTATTCATTATTAACAAATAGTATACATGTATCATTAATGTGTCTATCACTTTAATGTTACAGCTGGAGAGGACTGTACTGCCTCACACACTCCTTGGCAGGTTGACCTACAACAACAGAGTATCATATTTAATATAATATATATACTTACATTTTATAGATGCAACTGTGCAGTGCATGCACACACTGCAACATTAATACTGTGGTGTATGCACTGCACAGTATTAATAATCATACAGTGATTACTATCATCAAGCAGTGTCCACTTTCTTTAGCAAAGGTTGAGTCATTTCCTCCACTGCTTGTTCGTCATCTCTCTAAACGCATGAACTCACCTTTCAATCCAGAAGCCAGTAAGATGTGAAAGAAGAAGAAGAAGACCACGACCGACGACATTTGTGCAGACATTGAACGAGAATTGGTGCGTACTGTCTGAAATTTGAAGTTTGTTCCTTTTAGGAGTGGTTAGTTTCACTTTCACATTCACGCCCATATGTCGTTAATATAAGCTTGTACAGCTTAATCACAGTGTTATTTCCTCACAGTTTTTGGATCAAACTTCTGTTTATCACCACAGTCACTCTTTATATAACAAGTCATTTTTGAAATTATGCTTTCTAACTAATAGGATAGAATATATAAAGGTTATCTGATTGTATGCAGGTCCCTGAACACTCAGTGTAACTTCGGGACTTCCTGTTTTTGTTTACTGTCTGTGAGCAGACAGTAAACACCTACAAACCTCCTTCTTTCTGCAGACACTTCTGGTGACAGCAGACATCACGACACAGTTATTAAAATAAACCGCGATGCTTTTGACGCTCCCGCTCTCCCAACCCATTTTAAACCAAAGCTGATCACTGACGCCCTCTGCTGCTGCTGATCGGCTCTTAAAGCCACACGTGCAGTTTTTACACTACACGATATACACTCAACAAAAATATAAACGCAACACCTTTGTTACTGCTCCCATTCCCCATGGGATGGACGTAGAGACCTAAAATTCATTCCAGATACACAA